AACGTGAATCGTGCAGAAATCTTCGAACTTGGCCGAGTAACGTAGTTGTTACGTGATTCGGGTAGTTTTTGGTGTCGCACCTTTCACAAGGCCTTGGTACAGTCGATTCGGACTTCTCAAACTGTGTTACTGGACATTCGTCACTGAAATCATGACAATCTCGAGTTGATCTGTTCTTACCTGTGCAAGTGACAAATCAAGTTCTACTAATGGTGTGGATTACATGAACGATTACCATTAAACTTCACCGAAAAGTTTTTAGCCATCAAGTATGTAAGCTATTGTCAATAACATGTGCCAAAATTAAGCTCCCTTATGTTGCTGGAATAGTGTAAATATAATTCGCTATTTTAGGTATTTCATACGCATATTTCCTTTTCTTTGTCGATTTCATGATTAATGCATTCAACGAACACCAATCTGTCTACTGGCACTCCCTCAATGTTTACGCGTCAACGAAATTCCTGATCATATTCGAAACAATGGTTTGTTTGATTTCCAAGAGTTTTGGTTTATTCAAGAAATTAATCGTGGCCATATCGAACTGTATATAGAGATGATTACAGTATTGTTTTTAATAATACGATCACTGGTCTTTTAGTCCAGTCATGAACATAATATAGTGTGCTTCTTTCCTTCTTGCTGATTTCATTTCGATCTCCGTTTCTATCTTTTTGTTCTTTTCTCTTGTCTAATTATTAAACTCTGCTGACTGGTAGTATTTAATATTACGCGCAAACATGAGACCAACACAAATTGTCATATTGCTAGACAGGTAATTAGATAGGGTCACTGCTGGTAAACAGATTTCGTTTCGTTTTCTTCTCCATATCGATATTGATATATCCATCTGCAATATGTAACGAATTATCTCGATGCATATTATCTCGAAATGACGTATCGACAGTGTTCCGTGAACAGTTCTCTTTTAGGTGTTTTCGCATACTAACGAAGAACGTTTGTTATTCACTGATCGCTTACGTAGGATAGCAATTACTTTTTTTTTATACTTAGTCTTGTATGTGCAACAAGGTTTTGTGTGTTTGAAAAAATGAGACAATGTGTAATTTATTGGCAAGTAACGGAATGTTCTAGTCGTTCTATTGAAGCTGAAGCCAAAACAATGTCATTGACGATTAGAAATATATTTGATATCATTCAGTTGTGTAGTGTTACAATACAACGTATTCTTATACATTGTTTTTATAAATTGTAAGTCTATAAGAATTATAGAAAAAAATATTTTGAATTTCGTTCTTCGTCGACTTTTACGCCATAATTTCTTATTGCGTGTTTACCCGATAGAGTGCCAAGGTGAAGCGGAGTTGATCTTCAGAGTCCAAAAAAAAATTATCGTTTGTTTCTTCGAAAATGTACAGTGTTGTTTAGATAACTTACAAATGTAAATATTGATCGTATGTTTGTTGTGTTAGTTAATAGGATTTACTTGACTGTAAATTATTATTGATTTATTTGTCCGTTTACCAATTCACGTGTCCCACATGATTTTTTGCATTTGTCAGAAAGTAATTTTTCGAATGATGCTACGTATTTCAAATCGCGCCTATATCGAGTGAAGTCGATATCATCTACAATATGTGGGAAATTGAAGAAAAGTTGGTTCATGAAAACTTATAGACATATTTCACATACTTGATACATTTTCTAAATATATCATGTGCGTAACATAAATACTAAAATATTTAAAAATTTCACCAGTATTGTCCAACTAAAAATTACCAACTATTATGATTATATTTTGAAATCTCTTTAACGTTGTCCAGACAGTCATTGTAATTATATTTGTCAAATTTAAAACAAGATAAATTTGATCGAAAAGTGTACGTATAGCTAGAAGGTATATAAAGGTTTAGTATAAATAATCATATAAATATTTATACAGTCAATTATTAATTAAATCTCAATATTCATGCTGTACATTTTAATTTTTTATTAAATATATATGTATTTGCAGAGTAAACATCTCATAACTTTTACATATATTTTTAAATCGAATTTAAATTTTATTAATATAATCATTGCAGTCGTGTTTCATTATAATGTTAATAAAATTTCAAAATGTTTGATGTGATATATCAATATATGCATATAGTTGCATATGGTAAACAAATATTAGGATAATTTAATTACGCTTGAGGAAGTAAACAAGTAATTCGTGTATAATGCGGTTCAAACTTACGGTATGCATTATTGAGTTCTAAATTAGGAATTGTTGAACGATAATAAACAGTGAGGCTAAATTCAACGTGACAGTGATAGCGTGATTGGGATGAGATTTTCTGGACGTAGACTTTCGGTCTAAGCACGCAATATCTAATAGATATGGCTATTTATAAATATATGAAATATTTGGAGTCATGTATTCATAGGTATTTACTTATATAGCGGTTGCAAAAAAATATTTACCTATCATTTTATTTATTATTATAGCATTTACATACTAATTATTTAGTATGTATTTTGCATTATTTACTTAGTATTTAGTATGTATTTTGCATTATTTACTAATACTATGATTATAGAAAGTAGATATTTTTTTTTTCTTTTAAATTTGGTGCTAAATCAAACATTGTATCGGTTTGTCGATTTTTTTGAATTATTATAGGTGAAGCTGTGGACTAATGTACTGGAAAGAAAGGAAATGAGTCATAGACCAGGCGTGATGTAAATATATCTTTTATAATAAACGCTGGGTTTCACCAGAATCACTATCGCGATGACGTTATTGGATGCATTTTACATTCGTCATATTTTGCACTACTGGTGAATTCTTTTCTTTTTCTAAACTCATTACGTCACTGAGGAGAGTTCAACTGTGATTAATGTAACGAAGAAGTTTTAGCCGTTAGGTAACTTTACATTACAATGATATTTTTTACATTATGAAAGTGAATTAATTTAATCAACCTAGTTTTCAGAGGACATTGAGATCATTAAGAAATATCACGGAATTTTCTTTCTCATTTTTGATTTGTAAATAATGTTAGTTTAACAGTAGCAAGAAGATTAATGAATTTACTAATTTTGTTCGACCATTATGGGATGTGAATCATAATTATCGCTGAAATCGAAGTGGTTCGTAATCTATTTTTAATTACTTTTAATATTCTCTGAACCTTTCGAAACAACATAACGATATAAACTATTTATTTGCCCATTTAATATCAATTTATCAGTAAACTTATTTGAGATTTCAGAATTTTTTCGACGGTGTAGTTATGAAGTTAGAGTAGAGAATGAAATTCTCCGCAGTATTCCACAATGTTTCGTGTACGCGACTACATACATAATTATTTGGACAATTATGATGTCGCCAGACGTTGCCACGGCTGTTTTGAGATGATGCACAAGTTACAGGCTAACTTGATAAATTGTTGCCTAATTTCTGGATTCTTCTTATTTAAGCCAGCTACGTCTCCGTCATTTTAGAATCGGATCTGAAAACGCGCAGCTGGAAAACGCTCAATACATCTTATAGTATTCACGTTGTGCTTTCACTTATCGATTCTTGCTTACCTCATTAGTTGCATTTTTCGTGATTTCACACAATGTTACGCTGATGTTTTTTGGATACATGGCAATAATAGTCCAGATATTATTAATTAAAAGCTGTCTGTTACACAACGCGTAGTCGCAACTTTTAATTAGATATAAATGGTCCACGATGCACTCGCACCTGTTTATAATTTTAACATTAGATTAATGTTTGCTACTATTTGCTCTTACATTGGCCATGATTTCAATTAACTTTAAATATAGGGAGGAATAAATATTGAGATATATGTAGGAATATATGTAACATTTAAGTTGACAGTTTATCGATTATGTATGTTTAGGATTTCCTTAGCAGCTTGTTTCATAAATATGCCTTTCTAGAATTAAATGAGAATGTAAATAGCAGTGGGAGATCTCTGGTTATAAATGGATAGTTTTTCTTTATTTTTATTTCTTTAAATTTGTTAGATGTTCCTAGGAAATTATATATATATATATATATATATATATACATATG